ACTCATTTTCGTCAAAACCACAAATTTCAATCGATTATCTTGTTTTCTAAGAACATTTTTCAAATCTTCACAAATATTATTTTCCGTTAAGATCAATTTCTCAAGTGTCTACAATTCATTCATTATGAATAATGAAATTTGTAAGAAAAGATTCTTTACTTTATTTTGTTTCAAAGCGATTTCAAGTTGTTGTGCTCCAATATTTCCAATTCGATTTGATCGAAGATCTAACGTTTTTAATTTCTAAGAAAAACGAATCTCAATGAATGAAAGAAAACAATAGTCGATTGATCACCTGATTCTGTTTTAATACATCAGCTAAGTATTTTGCTCCATCATCTTGAATTTGATTAAACGAAAGATTTAATGTTGTAATTGTCTGAAATATCAAAAACAAGAAAATTCAAAAGAAAACTATTCCAAATTTTACTTTGTTGTTTTCTAAGAAATGACACAAGAATTTCATTCCATTATCACTTATTTTATTTGTGTCTAAACGTATTTCTTTGAGGGTCTGGAAGAAAAATGAAAGAAATTCAAAGAAGGAAATGAAAAAATCGATGATTACGTCATTATTTTCTAATAATTTAACGAGAAATTCAATATTCTCATCATTTATTCGACGTTTCGAAAGATTCAAATTGATGAAAGACTAAACAAAGAAAATAAATCTTCTAATAAAATGAAGTTGAAATAACTTTATCGTTTCGTAATTGAATAATAACTTCAACAATCGCTCCATATCCACTTTGATTACTATGGAATTGAAGAAATCTTAAACCTGTATTATCTTGAAGAGCATCAATTAAATATTGTACTCCGATATCATTGATTTGATTTGTTTCATCATAAATATGATTAATGATTAATTTTGTAAGTGTCTAAAGAGAAATGAAATGAAAAAATGAAGATTTCAAAGAATTTTACTTGATTTATTCTTAAAACATCACTAAGATATTTCATTCCAACATTTCCAAATGAATTATTTGAAATATCAAGTTCAACAATTGTTCTATTTGTTCGTAAACATTCACATAAATATTTTATTCCAACATCACCAATTTTATTCGTTGAAAAATTCAATCTTTTGATTTTCTATATTAAAAAGCCAAACTTTGACTCATTCATTAGAATATATTTCATCTTACTTCATTATGTTGTAACACTTCTGCGAGTAATTTCATATCTTCATCCCCATAAATATTGCGATGGAGATCACTTATAAACAAATTCTGGAAGAAAAACAAAGTGACAATATTATTCGAAAAACACGTACCTCATTGTTGTTTCGTATTGCAATTGCCATTTGAACAGTGTCACAAAATGTACTTTTATTTGAATGTAGAAAAACTTTCACTCTTATCTAAATAATGTAAATCAATTAATGACATTTTATTAACAAAGTCAAACTTGATGATCTTTATATAAATCATAAAGTTGTTGTGCACCACTTTTCTCGATTAAATTATACGAAAGATCGAGTGATGTGATTGTCTACAAAAATGATTATTGATTAAATCAAATCAAATTTGTCTATGTTACTGTGTTAAGTTTTAAACTATCACATAAATATTGTATTCCAATATCAGTAATTCGATTCTTTGACAAATTAAGATTGACGAGTCTCTGTAATAAACAAAAGAAAGGGAGAATTTATTGGAAGTATGGATTATATCCTACTAGACGATTTTGTAAAACTTCAGCAAGATAAAGAACACCAACGTCACCAATCTGATTTTTCGAAAGATTAAGTGTATGTAACATCTGAATCAGAAATAATGTGTCAATTTAGTCAATGAAAGAAATATATTACTGAATAGTTTTCTAATTCGACAATGATTGGTCTTAGAAGATTATTTCCAATGAGATTTGAACAGAGATTGACTGTTAACTGGTTTTCTTCGTTGTATTTTTGGATTATTCGACTTTCGGGATGCAAAATCAAACGACAAGAAGAATCTGTTGACGATACGCGAAATCGAACCGATTTGCTCTTCATCAGTTTATTCTGAATTACTGGAGTTGTGTATAAGAGAACTGCGTGTTCATTGGGAATGAAATCACATGTGACAAAGCAATGTTTTTCTTCAAGCCAAAATCGAGTTTGAAATGAGAAAATAAAAGCGTGTGAATTAAGAGTGTCATCACATCGTTTATCAATATAAGTAAAAGAAAATTCGAATTTGTTTAATAAAGATAAATTGTTTGAAATCCATTGTTCCCAATTTGATCCATCGAATACAGAAGAAACTGTTGTTTCAATTGAAATCAGTCGAAGTCGAAGCAGACAACGAGTTAATGAAAGAAGCTTTTGAAGTTCTTTACAAGGTAAACAACATTTATTAATAATCAACGAAATTAATTGTGGATACACTATATATAACAGACAACTAAAGGTACAAAGTCTTAAAAGATATAACTAAACTCACCTTCTCCATTTGTTTCATCAATTGAAGTTTTTGGTTTCTTTATCAATTGACTTACACTTGAAAATAAGAAAGGATCTCGATACTGTGAGACACATGTGTCAATTTCGAGTTCTTTTAAGTTTAATGAATTACGAAGGATAGTTTGATATGCATTCAGATCACAATCTTGAATTCTCAATCTTTGTAATGTCGATTGTATTGGCCACGGGAATATTTCATGTAGACAAAAATGGTTTTCTACGCATAATTTTTTGTATTTGACATTCGATAATCGTTGAAGAAATGTTTGGAAATGAGATATTCTTATCACTACATCGATCCAAGTTAATAGTTAATGAAACTAATGAAAAACCATTGATATAAAATAGAAATGTTTCAATTTGCCCACCCGTAAAATTGGTTAAAGTTAATGAATGAAGATTATTCAATTGATGAATATTAAAACTCGAAAGACAATTTGTTATATGATTTTCATTGTTATTATTGACAATTAATGTTAATGAAACAATCTTTAATGGTGAAATCCGATCGATGACAGATTTCAAATTGAATTTTCGATTTCTTATACTGTACTTGAGTTTAAAACGATTGTAACTATTGACAACTGCATGAAATTGTTTGCAAACACAACTAACCGAACAAAATATTGTATTTGTATCCAAATGATCAAATATCAAATGGAAAATTTCCTTTGGGATATTCAATAATGATGAATTGTTCATTTTCTTCTAAAAAAAGGTCGAAATTGTCGATGAAACTGTGACCAACATTTTAATGTTGAATCAAATTACATGTTGGAAAGTTCCAACTGAGTTCTTCTGATTAAGCAATGTTTTTTTTTTCGAAAAGCACATCTTTGCATTTCTAATTCCTCGTCGCACCATCTAACGACAATTTCTATTGGTTCTTTTCTTTCATTGGCAAGTTGTTCTATTCTATGTAATCGTGAGATAAAGAAGAAAAAAACATGTCCGGAGAAGATCGTCAATCCCGATTACCATTGAAAGATGTGCCTTTGGATCTTCAAGAGAAAATTGTTGAACTCAATGGAAATCCCAATTTAAATCTTTACAAGGTTTTATCGAATAATCCAATTTTATTATCATCATGGATCGATTTTGCGTATTCATTACGACGAAATTGTACAACATCTCGTCAACTTCGTGAATTGATGATTCTTCGTGGTGCTCAACTTTGTCAATCTGAATACGAATGGTTTCAACATGAACAAATGGCAAAACAATGTGGAATATCAGAAGAAAAGATAAATGCAGTCAAACATTGGAAAACAAATTCTCTTTTTGATGAAAAAGAAAAAGTTGTTTTAGAACTTATGGAATCATTGGTTTTAAACAAAGGAAAAATTACTGATCAATTCGATGAAAAATTGAAAAAATATTTTACAGAATCAGAATATTTAGAATTAATATTAACAGGAAGTTTTTACATAATGGTTCCAACTGTATTAGAAACTTTACAAATTCCAACAGAAAAGTGAAAAAGTATTTTGTAATGTAACATCTCGAATAAAAGACATTTGATTTAAGAAACTCGAAATGCTGGATTAATAAATATTCTTCCTTGATGTTTTTCTCTTATACATAAATGAAATTGAATATGTTCACAAGTAAATCCTTTTCCATTATATTTACATTCAAATGTTGAATTTGTTTTGTATAAAGCCGCACCACCAAAAGCTGAACGTACTTCAATTAAACCCCGTTCAATTGGAATATGTTTTGTATGAATACCAATAATTTGATCAATAATTGATTGAGAACAATAATGTTCTGATGATCCTTCTAATTTCCACACTTGATGCCAAACATCATAATTCATAACTGAATCAGATAGAGTACGTAATGCCCAAATATCATAATATTTATCATTGGTTGTTGCTGTCATCACAGACCATTGATTTGGATCATATTGAAAATTTGTTAAAAAAGAAGAAATACTCATTGCAAATATATCAATATCAACTACAAAAATATAATCAGTTGATAAAGAATGTGCTTTATCTAACAACAAATTACGACAAAAGGTCAGACGATCAGTACGATCTCGATATGTTTTGGAA